AGAACACGTGTTACATCAACTTGACTAATACAAGCAAATGTTGGGTCACAAATATCCCTTCTCTGCCAGGAACGTGTGTTGATGTGACACACAAGACATTTAATGGCTAGCTTGTCCGTTGACGAGGGCGATGGAAGCCATTGATCCGCCATTTACATGACTGAGTTTTGTCTATATGCGCACAGGTTATAGTTTTCTGCATCACGGAAATAACCGAGGCCTTGCGAATGATCTCTTTTGAAACAACGTCGCTGATTGCACAACTAAATCTGATTGCAACCAATCACGAATCCTGAACACTCGCACCATGAAAGGGTTAGAACAGAGGTCCGTAGGAAGAAATGACAAGTCAACCTTATGATACCCTTGATCAATCACCCTCATAGTCAAACAGTATACAAAGCTGTTCACGGTATTGGCCTATCGTACATCAGCGAGTTGATCCAGTGCCATCAACCATCCCGTCCCCTACGTTCTAGTAGTGCCCAGTTACTAGTTGTGCCGCGTATGAGAACAAAGACATTTGGAGACAGATGTTTTGCAAAAGCAGGTCCTATGCTTTGGAACAACATCCCATTATGCATTTTAAGTGCAGAGGAAATCTGTACATTTAAGAGAATGTTAAAAACATTCTTTTTCAAATCATATTACGATTCCGAGTGACTGTTTCCTTGTCAGACTCATACGAAAGCGCCTTTGAGCAGGACACATCTGGATATTGGCGCTATATAACTCTCTATAAATATTATTTAATTATTAATATAATCACAGCTTATGTAAGCCCAGAGTAGGTTAGCACACATTAAAGTACCGGAGGAGATGAGACGGGATGAATGTATACTGATTGACTCAAGTGATTAGACACCATACTCAGCTTTATGATGGTGGTCTGTCTCTTCAGCATGATAAGCAAACGCCTAGAACACTGGATAGAGTGAGTGAGTATGGTTTTACGCCGCTCTTAGCAATATTCCAGCAATATCACAGCGGATAACACCAGAAATGGGCTTCACACATTGTGCCCATGTCGGGATTCGAACCAAGGTCTTCGGCGTGACGAGCGGACGCTTTAACCACTAGGCTACCCCACCGCCCCTATAACACTGGACTACCCTTCCCGCCATTCTGTGACAGTTTGGCATTTCATTTATGACATAGCATAATGCCTCTGCATTCAGTGCATATGTTTATGATATTTATTGGCCTACAGTTTATGTTATAGATAAAACCTGCAGGCAGGCCATGCAATTAAATTGCAAAACCTCTGTGCAGGTCTTACAATTCAGATGTAAACTTTCCAAGCAGGTCTTACAATTCAAACATAAAATCTCTGAGCAGGTCTTACAGTTCAACAGTAAAATCTCCAACCATTTCTTACAATTCAAAAGTAAAATCTCCAAGCAGGTCTCACAATGTTAAGCCTGATATGTTAAAATGTAAAATCTTCCAGTAGGTCGTACAGTTCTAATGTAAATGGGATTCTTAGATAATGTGATACAAACAATCACCTGTTCTGAATTTATCAGAAAGCGAAACATTCAAAAGATGATTTCAAGAGCTGGTTATGTTTTTCTGTTATGTTATGCTGGTCTGTTGAATATAGGATAATATATATGTTGATATAGTGTAAATCCACTATATGGCATGGCTACATAGGAATAATTATGGCTGCTTAAAAATCTCTCTACTCTCATGTGAGATGTGACATGGGTCAGACTGTTTAAAATCAATGGCAAGTGCCCGCCAATTACTCCGTGAAGACTGATGGCCAAGTGTGTATTGTCATGGTGGCCATTAGTGAATCTACTACAAGGGAGATAACTCTTCCTGTCCTGTCACCACACATACAGGCACTGTACATATCTTGGTCTCAAAATGTTGAGTGGAAAACTTTCCTGTGTCTTTTGTGATTTATTGCATTAAAACCCCAGGTTTAGCTCTGATTTGATGTTTTGGTTGGCATTTAGATCTGAAAGGATTGACCTATAACCTGTACGTTTTATTTCACCATTGAGGATAAAGGAATCCTTATATACTCAGGTGAATGGAAGCTAGAAAACAGATAGGTATCTATGTTCTTGTGGGAACACCATAAGTGACAAAATAACAATGGTGGACACTTAAAGGTCACATGCAACGTAAAAGACAACTTTGCAGATTCTGATACCTTTCGGTATGGACTTACCGAAACAAATCATCAAAAATGCAAATTCAACTTATAAAGTTGAAAAATAACGTGATGAAAAAAACCGCGCGAAATCAGAGTTCAAACGATTCACTAATTTTCCCCCGACTTTTCGGGGGAAAACTGGTTTCAACAGCTGGGCTGCGCTCATAGCACGTGCGCAGTGAAATAGGTTTGCGCAACTTCAAAGCGGGCTGTCCGGTGAATACTCGGTGAAGGCTTTGGTGTGAGCTATCTTCCTAATGTTTTGTTGATATCTCACAGGCGCGAGCTTTTTTATATGTTATGACAGTAAATAAACTGTTTATATACTTTCATTTGTCTATTTCACCACACGTTCTTCTTACCGAGTCACTTTCTCAGTTCGATACTTAAAAGCAATGTCATTATTTAGCGTTGACAGAATTTCTAACTGTGATATAGATATGTCGTTGTCACAGACAAAACTCAATGTCTTGTTATATTGACATCTGTGTCTGCCTGCCTGTCTGCTAATGTCAATATTCAATACACAACTGCGATCACTGACCACATGCAATTTGAACTTAACACCTATCAGGCTATACACCATAAACAAAACGCATTGATTTATGGCCCGAGTTCAGTCTCTGTCACATTATGTAATTACACAGACAGGCAGGTGTGATACTTGAACACATGACATGTTATGATGTCTGTTGATTGCAAAATGTTATACACAAACAATGAGCATGTATTTACAAAACCCAACATCTCTATATATACACACACAATGAGCCGTGAGAGCATCTGCAAATGAACCAGCCGTTACACTTGAGTGCACACCCACCCGCTCTGACTGGGTTCGGTATCCCAGCTGCTTCGTTTCTTGGGAAGTAAACCTAAGTACACAATATTGCACTTTTGATTTGCGATTGTACGCTTATAATTTTGTTTATATGTTTTTTCATAACCAGCAATGTATATTATATGTCATGAATGAGTGATAATTGTGTTTTAATTATGTTTGATTTTTTTGGTTGCATGTGACCTTTAACAAGGGAGGCCAGTAGTTAATTGGTGTTGAGTGATAATGGCAGTGAATACACAGAAGCCGGGAATTAATCCACGCATAAGTTTGTAGTGATAGGCAATGAACACTGATTGGTGATAGTGACAGATATGGAAGATGGATGGATAGTGGCACAGATAATTAATAAGTCCCAAATACTGTGCACTTATGTTGATTTAATCAGGAATATACTCCGGAAAGTCATTTTCCTCATAACAAAGTTGACATCCATAATTGTTTTCCCCTTTATGTGTGTTACTTCTAAAGTGGCAGTAGAAGGGTATAGACATCGTGTTTTTTTGTTCAGATGAGTGTTTCAATTCCAGAAAATATGGATTTTGATTTATGTAGTACAGTGAGACCTGTCTAAACAGGCACCCCACGGGACCAAAATAAAATGCTGGTTTAGACAGGGTGTCGGATTAGACAGTGATGATCATTTTCCAACATGACTGCCATTGACACTAGTCAGTCTCTCAATCTAGCGTGAGGATCCATGCAGGTAGCAAAAGTAACGTAAGTCCCCATGGTTCCTAGTATGGTGATCTACCTTCAGTTGTTGGCGATCTATAGCCAGTGTTTTATACTGTATTGTCTTCTCTAATTGGAATTTTTTAGCTTTGCTCGCTAGTTTTATATTCATATCTGTGATTCTCTAGTATTTTTACTGTCCATCGTCGGCAGGTTTTAATCTTCCAAATGTTTTCACCTTTTATTGTCTGGATTGATCTCGTCACGATATGGCTGAGATATTGCCGATGTGACGTTAAATATTAACTCACTCACTCACTTACTCACTCAATCTAGCGTGACGAGAAGAGTGTATTGGACTGCACTGCTCATACCCATGCCGGCTTAGAGCGTTTGATTCACCCCGCAATCACTACTTCCTGATTATCTAGCATGCCAAGAGGATTAATTAGTGTATTGGATTATGGGTCCTTGATTGGACTGCTCATACCCATGCCGGTTTAGACAGTGTTAATTACAGTTAAAATTGCTTGTTGGGACTAGAAAGTCATGCTGGAATACGGAATAGACAGGTGCCGGATTAGACAATGTTTTAATGATCAAAATATCGTTGTAAAATGGCGGGACCAAAATTTTATGCCGGATTGGAGAGGTGCCGGTGTTGGCAGGTTTCACTGTATATATTTCTGCACTTTTCGTGGGTTTCTAACATGACTGTTCTATGATGTTTGTTTTTGTTTGTTGTTTAACACCTGCAGTCCGCAACATTCCAGGTATTTGGTGGCATTCTGTAAATAACTGAGTCTGGACCAGGCAATCCAGTCATGAACAGCATGAACGTCAATCTAAGCTATTGGGTTATGATGACATGTGTCAACCGAGTCAGTAAGTCTGACCACCCAGTCCCATTAGTTGCCACTTATGACAAGCATGGGTTGCTGAAGACCAACTTGTATGTTGCATAGGTACTGTTGTATGTTGTTCGTGTTTTGTAACATGACTGTTGTAAGTTGTTCATCCGTTGTAAAGTACCTGTGAAGATCCGGGTTAGATTGTTGATCTTCAGTAACCCATGCTTGTCATAAGGGGCGACTAACGGGATCGGGTGGTAAGGCTCACTGACTTGGTTGACACATGTCATCGATTCCCAATTGTGCAGATCGATGCTCATGCTGTTGATCGCTCTATTGTCTGCTCCAGACTTGATTATTTACAGATCGCTGCAATATAGCTGGAATATTGCTGAGTGTGGCGTATTACTAAACTCACTCACTCACTCACTGTTGTAACTCGAGTGTTGTTTCTGTGTTCTAGGTTGGAGAACAGAAGTGTAACCCAAATGAGAGGGACTTTGATGGTGTGTCACCTCTACACTTCGCTGCCACTCGGGGCCACCATCAGGTGGTGGAATGGCTGTTAAAACATGGAGGCAGGGTGACGCTAGACAACCTGGGTGGGAGTCCACTGCACAACGCTGCTGAGATGGGACACAAACAGGTAGGTGATGCTTGACAATTTAGTAGGGGAGGGGCTGTGAACATGGGACAGAAGCACGAAGGGGATGCTATGTTGAAGGGGTGGAAATAACCCATTGCCCGACGCCCGAGTCCAGTGTTTTTTTCTGTCGGGCAAGCAAATTTGTATATCACACTGTACTGGTATCCAGTTGACTTTCCAATATTAATTATGTTGTTTATTTTAAAAATCAACAAGAAAATGGCCGGTATAGTGGAAAAATGATCAGGGCAAGTGATTTTACATGTGCCACTGTACCGGAGTACACTAGCAATTTTAAAGTTATTTCCACCCCTGTGTTGTATAAAGGTTTTATGGTATAAAACTACAGAAAAATTCAGTGTTGCAATCATATTCCAAGCAAATCTACAAACTGTTTTATATTGCCCTAAACACACATCTGATACTCTTTGAATCAGTTCGACTTAGGCAAAGACGGTTGAGACTCACTCTGACACCTAATGAGCTGTGACCACTCCTGTCTTGATGTAGATGTAACTGGTGACCGACCCTGTCAGTTGTAACAAACCAGCCTGGAGTAACAAGCTAGGTTCTCACGGGTACTGCCCCCCTAGCCGCCCCCCTCTTAACATGTGGGGCTCCACACACACCCACATCACATGCTAGACCAGGCCTTTGTGGTATTGATGACAGGCCCAGGTGTGTGGGACATGGAGGATTGATCATTGGCTGGATTACTCTTTGATATTTTTTATATTGGCTTGGTGGCTGAATGTGAGGGAATATATCTGGTATTTAGCATTCAAGCATGTATCACCCTAGTCTGTAGGCTACATAGTACATGCAGTAGATTATATTGTACTTGGATCATTGACATGTGGGAGTATGTTTACTAGGGCTGCAACGAATACACTATGTGGCGAATATGATACCTATCATGAATATTGGGTAACGAACACACGAATAATTATTCATGAATACCATGTACAATATGGAACGCCTATTTTGACAGTTTTGATTTGTCACAGCAATAACCAGTGATCTCTTGACACTCAAATTTGGTATGTAATAGTTATAGTTGACAGTACCATGTGCGGCCTTGGCAAACTAACATGACTTGCGCTACTGCAAGGCTAGTACATATTCAATCCTTGCATATCTCACTTTCCAAAAGTACACAAGGGTTCAAGTAAAACATGCTCCCTTAAAAAATCGTAAATATTCGTTAATATTCGGTTCTGGTGACCACGAATAACGAATTGAATTCATGAAGGGCTACAGTTCGATTCACCGAATATGCGAGTGAATCGTTACAGCCTTAATGTTTACCAGTTACTCTGAAATGTACCATCTGAGATGCAATGATAAACTAACCATTTCTTTGCAAGAAACAAAACACTTTGCAAATCTTGAATAATGGGACAGTCTTAAAAAACAGACCCAACAAACTGAAAACTATAAAAGTTTTTAAAACTGATACTTATTAATCCATATATAATTTGCAATCTCTTTCTTAAAGAAGTTTTGTGAATATTCTTTTTAAGTGTGACAGGTACACAACAGATTGTCTTGTTTCGCATTACAAAAGTAGCATCGTTAAATATGTAATTACCAAACTCTCTCTCTTAAAGAAGTCTTTCAAATCCTCAACCTACACAGCATATTATCCTGTTGGTTAGAGACCTCCATGAAGAAGAGGTCGTAGGAGGTCTGACAGGGTCTGGGGAGGTTAAAGCCATGTAGATTACAAACAGTGATGCTGGCTCATTATGGGAAGTAGAGTATCTGCTCCTCCACTTAGCAGGTGGTTGTTGTGTGCTCAGTCTGACTGAAGCTTTTTCCCTCAGATAGAGGGAGGAATCAGTGATGTATGGGAGACAGATTCTCCATGTTTACTTCCCTTGTACAAACACTCACCTTGTATCTGTAGAGGACAGAGATGATAGGAGTATATCACGTATTGTACTCATGTAGGTAGCTGTGATGGAAGAGATTGGGTTCAATTGTGGCCCAAGTCAAACTTTATGTGGGTCGAAATGATTTCTGGAATGATGTATCTTTGTCCTTTCAGATATGTTGCCAAATTTATCATCATAGGTTCAATTTCCACATTCTCTTGATTATGTTTTTAGTTATGTTAACACCTTATCTATATTAATGGGTTTTGTTGGAAAATGTCAAAAACTATGTTGAACATGACTCATCACTTACTTATCATGACGGCTTTGTCAGCTGTACACAGTATGCATTGTCAACACTCTGGGCTTGAAATAATATTTCCTCTTGGAGTGGCCAAGAATGATGTGTAAGGAAACTCTGTGATCATGTCCGGATGGTTGGTTGTGCATCATCGTACACGGATGGTGTGGGTGTTGTTCATAATATCAGGGATGGTGTTGTTCATAATATCAGGGCTGTGGGGTAGCCATGGCTCCAAAGACCCGGTTCGAATCCCCACATGGGTACAATGTGTGAAGCCCATTTCTGGTGTCCCCATGATATTGCTGGAATATTGCTAAAAGGGTGAAACCAAACTAAATCAGTCAGTGATAATATCAGTCACAGGTTTGTCTGGTCCAGAGTTCTTCCTTACTATGGTAATGTAGTGGCAGATTTGTGGAAACGTGCATATTTCTTTTAAAGATGCCTATCTTTTCCTATATGATCTGGGCCAAGCACTACCCTAGGGGCCGTTTCTGGTGTTCCCTGTGGAATTATTGCTGAAATATTGCTAAAAGCAGCATAAAAACTCACTCACTCACTCACTCACTCACTCACTCACTCACTCACTCACTCACTCACTCACTCACTCACTCACTCACTCACTCACTCACTCACTCACTCACTCACTCACTCACTCACTCACTCACTCACTCACTCACTCACTCACTCACTGTAATTGCCATTGATCACCAGACTAAGTGGTCAGTTATATTAACAATGTCCAAAATTTACACACAAAAACATCTGACATGAAGTACTCCTTCTTTGACCTTGAGATCAGGTAAGGGAATACAGGTGTTGTAGATGTTAGTAAATTACCCAATTACAATAAGCCATTTCGGCTCGATAACAATCAGCAGTCATTAAATACGGTGGTAAAAGAATTCTGTTTGTGCAGGTTTTTGTTAAACGGTCCGGTAAACATAATCAGTGCAATTAACACATCTAAAAACTGATCATAGATATGTACACTTTCACTGTTTCCATGGCAACTTGCACCTATTGACCTAGCTGCTTAAAAAGCGTACATCATTGTACAGATTGCTATGCATTCAACCAGTGAGAAGTCCCATTGAATACCTGGCCAGCATAGCTAAACAGCTCAACCTCACCTCACATATACAACATTAAACGTGCACAGATTTCATACTTCTAAAACAACAGGCTGGATACGTGAGACTGGGATCATTTCACTTGGTGGATAAGAGGGAGATATTCATTAATATATTTAAAACAGGGCTATTCTTATCAGCAGTGTATCTGAAAGGTGATTGTGTAGTCATATTTGTTGACATATGCCCTGGGGAGGTGTTCACTGTGACAGCAAGGGATGTTAACCTACTTGTGGGTGTGCTCCGCTAAAGCCATACAGAGTTGGAATCTCCAAACTGAGGTGCTGACAGCTGGCTCAAACTCCTTATAGAGGTGAGTTCAACTAATAATGTCATACAGTGAGTTTACCTGACATACTGAGGTGCTGACAGCTGGCTCAAACTCCTTATAGAGGTGAGTTCAACTAATAATGTCATACAGTGAGTTTACCTGACATACTGAGGTGCTGACAGCTTCAACTCCTTATAGAGGTGAGTTCAACTAATAATGTCATACAGTGAGTTAACCTGACATACTGAGGTGCTGACAGCTGGCTCAAACTCCTTATAGAGGTGAGTTCAACTAATAATGTCATACAGTGAGTTAACCTGACATACTGAGGTGCTGACAGCTGGCTCAAACTCCTTATAGAGGTGAGTTCAACTAATAATGTCATACAGTGAGTTTACCTGACATACTGAGGTGCTGACAGCTGGCTCAAACTCCTTATAGAGGTGAGTTCAACTAATAATGTCATACAGTGAGTTTACCTGACATACTGAGGTGCTGACAGCTGGCTCAAACTCCATGCAGAGGTGAGTTCAACTGACACCATGCAATGTACATGACTTCGGCTAACTAATTCCATACAGAAGTAAGTCCACCAAGTAACCCATACAGAGGTGAGTTCACCTGACACCATACAGAGGTGAGTTCACCTGACACATACAGAGGTCAGTTCACCTGACACCATACAGAGGTGAGTTCACCTGTGAGTTCATCTGACACCATACAGAGGTGAGTTCACCTGACACCATACAGAGGTGAGTTCACCTGACACCATACAGAGGTGAGTTCACCTGACACCATACAGAGGTGAGTTCACCTGACACATACAGAGGTGAGTTCACCTGACACCATACAGAGGTGAGTTCACCTGACACCATACAGAGGTGAGGTACAGAGGTGAGTTCACCTGACACCATTCAGAGTTCACCTGAGTTCACCTGACACCATACAGATGTGAGTTCACCATACAGAGGTGAGTTCACCATACAGAGAGTGACACCATTCAATGAGTTATCTGACACCATACGGAGGTCAATTTACCTGATCCCATACAGAGGTGAGTTCATCTAACACCATACAGAGGTGAGTTCATCTAGCACCATACAGAGGTGAGTTCACCTGACGCCATACAAAGTTGAGTTACGATACACATATTGCCCTTGATGACATCTAACACCTTAAGCATCTAGCACCATACAGAGGTGAAATCCATTGAAATATGAATGAGACTGGCTGACATGCAAACATAAATCCATTGAAATATGAATGAGACTGGCTGAATGTATCATCTTGATGTGTGTGGTTTGCATTGATCCAAGGCTCCTGTGATGGTAGGTTAGGCCAGTTAAAGAATATTCTTGTAATTTTCTATCCATTTATTTGACTGTTTACAATAAATAATGATCTATAACAAGCTG